GCATCATGACAATGTGTGAGTCAGTAGTTAAATTACTCCTTGTAATGTTCTAAATAGCTGTATATGAAGTCATGAGAATGGAATTTTCATTAACTCATGCAAACCCTCTAACCCCCTTGACTTATAATGGTTTGCTCCACTATTAAAGGAAATACTATACTAAGCATGAAGCTCATCTTTCCTGCACTCCTATTCACATGAAGACTCATGCAGGTTTACAGCTTGCAAGACAAGCATGGCAAACATTTTAACAGCAAATCATACAAAGTACACAAGATTTAGCTCACAGTACACGATAACAGTGACACAAACTAATAATCCATGGACATACATGTAGATTACGAATCAATAAAAGTAGAAAAAGTTCTGTCATCAGACAAATTTTGATTGAAATCAGTCCAGTGACCTTAAGACATGATTGATGACATGTTTGTGTATTTGATATGATGTGTATGACCACAATGGTTTTATAGTTAAGGTTATATCAACTGTGAACACATGTCAGACAACAGATGGGAGACTGAGTTGAAAAAATAGGCCAATAGAACAAAACTGAGGATTACCAAGGTGTTACCATGATCAGATTACACAAAATTACTAGGTGCAAGTATGTATATCATGACAAAGTATGAACTTTGAACCAGAGTTCTGATATGGACATATAAAATTAAACACAAATTAGTTAGCTATACGAATCAGATCACAGAAAAGAAAATACCATTAAATATTAATTAAATAATTAATAAATTAATAAAAGAAAGCAATTAACTGAAAAGACAAAATCTCAACAGAATACGGTAAACTCAGAAAAGAACCACTCCACTCCTGCTCCCCACCATTCTGCTCACATACTCTACAAAGTAATAAATAAATAAACAATTCTTACTTGTATGTTTTTGACAAATGCTCAATGACAAATCATACCATGTATGAATTCCAGATGGTGGGAATGAAGTATTCATACAATCTGGTTTTCCTGACATGACGAGTAGATCTGTAGACTTCAGCATATAATGTAAACCTTTCACTTTTATCTCACATCCTAAATCCTGTGTACAAAATAGAAGCAATCAGTACTGACCAGTAAGCCAATCAACGATGTACAATATTTGCTGTCCACTTGATCATGTGTCCAATCTTTGTACACTTACACAGCAAAAACAGATGATATGAACAGTAAACAACATATACGCCATATTGGTAAACATATTCTAAAAAATGCAGAGGTTATTACATGAAAACCCTCTGTGATATTTTGTCATATTTACAAGCTTTCATGTATTTTGATGAGTTGTGAAGCGACAGAACAAAATACCAAATGAAAAACAGGGTGATATCATGTGGTTTCATGTGATGATCTTTGAATGACACACAGACATGTGGCACTCTTGCCAAAAACTTGTGGACTAGATTAGCAGGTACAAACACAGGTTACAGTTTATCGTCGACAACATTTGAATTTGTTATATACTACTTAGGGACTGGTCAGTTACTTCGGCCTAGGGGGGGGTGGATCAGTAGGGACGGGGGGTTACCCCGTTTTTGATTTTGCGAATTTTTGTTCTTTGCTATCATGAATAATAATAATAATAATTTTTATTCAACACGAAAATCTACTACAGAGAGTAATTTTATGGTTGTAAAACAAGAACAGAAATAATACTTCACACAACTAATATCACAAATAGCACATTAAACATAAGCTAATGTTATTGTTTAGTACAAAGCAAGACGGAAGTACAGTTCAATCCACCAGAATCATGAATAGGGGGTCACCATGTTTTCCACAAGTCACACACACGCTTATGCATATATTTTTAAAAATTTTATATTTCAGAACAAAAGATAAAAAAGTTAATTGTATAAATGTGTTCTTAATAACAACTACATGTATTACCCATATTGCCTATGAATTTGTTGATGCAAAAAATGTTATAGGCTAAATATTTTGGGGTTGAAGTTGCCAAATAACTAACAGATTATGCAATGCGGCAAAACCCCAATTATACAGTTAAGTTTTAAACACATCCCTAGTCCATGTGTTGCTGATATCAGATCATTTTATTTAAAGTCTGAAGTCACCATTGTATAAGATATTTACTGGATTTATCCAATTATAGCAGATGATGGAAAAACA